TCAAATTCAAAAATTGGACATCTGGACGTGGGAGCTGTTTACGGCAAGAGTCTAACAGCCGATGTTGAATTCGAAATGGAGAATAGCATGGCAGAGATTGATGACGAGCGTCGTGCTTCCTTGCAAAATTGATGGACCGTAGGATATCTGCATAATATTTTCACAAGCGAATTGAACGAAGTGAACTGCCGTGTCGAACTGAATTCTCGTGTCATTAATTCATCGCCGTGGTAAATGAAACGTACGTTACGACAGAACGTAATTCACACAAAGTGGAATTAATGCATGCATCGTGCGAGAGCTAAGTATTCGATTTCCAGGCCCGGTTGTTGTTTAATCGCGTTAACCCGTTTCCAGGCTAATAGATTTTACCTTCGACGTTTCATTTCGACGAGGCAGATCTTCATTTGCATGCACGTACGCTTCTGTGTATGTTCCACGATCGGACGTGGCCGCGAATACGTTAAGTTTCTTCACCGCGGAAATTTGCAGGTATAATTCAATCGATTTTATCCTGCCGCACGAATCATCGTGCATCCGATTGCTCCGCCATTGTTCGCCGTGTACGCCGATTTATCTGTCCGATATGTTTCTAGTTTTATACGTTGAAGCTTGTTGATTTTCAGCAAATTGTCAGCGAAACAATATTATTATTTAATACCAAGAAACTGCTGTGAATTAGAGTAAACGTCGCTCAAGTTCTTTTTTCTTTTTCTTTCTTTTTTTAAATATCTACAAACGACGCACGGGGATCGTTACAGATTGTTCGTGTGAATTTCATTCGCCCAATTTCGTGTTCACCGATTATTTACACAGTTCGCGTGGTAATTCATTGGGAAATTATTTATCGGGCAACTTCATACATCGTCCATATTTATTTCGCTGTTTGTCCAAAGCGTTTGGAAATCGTCCAATTTCAACAGCGCCGCAGATTTGCGCGACACAATGTTACGGGCCGCGTCTGTCTTTTGTTATTCTAGTTCGAAATTCTGATAAATGGTTATTCGATGGAAACGTGGATCTTCTCCTCCGTTCTCTCGTATCCATTTGTTCATCTGTCTTTAGAGGTAGCAAGGCAACACGTTCTCATTGTGCAAATTAAAAGGGTGTGTACACAGGTGAAGGATATATAATTCTTTTCTTCAATTCTTTTCTTCAAATAATAAATGCATAATGTAAAAATGTAAACGATTTTTAACAGATATCATAATAGATACTTGGAGAAGATGTACAATTACTTTTTAACTAATCACGCCTGTAATAAATATTTATTTAATTTTAGAACATCAATCGATGCTAATCTATCGTGCATTTTTACTCTACTCGTCACAATGGTCTCCTCATTTTGAAATTTTTGAAAGAAACTCCAGTACTTTGTTACGTTCGAATTTCCTTTATTCCAGTATTAAGCGCACCATTCATTATTTATACAGGCTGTCGTTTGCGTAATTGCATTTGGTTGCATATTAACGAAACATACGTGTTCTATTGTATACGTATATTCGGATTCAATATATCGATCAATATCGCACGATCCGGCGTTCGCGTGTTTATTTAAAAAAATTGCAAACTGCTTATTGCGTAACTTGTCTCATTCGCGATAAATATTGACAAAAGTGGCGACTTTCATCCCCGATGATCTTCATTAATTAATTCAAACATTGTTAAACGTCAGTCTGTCATACATAATAATATATGTGTTTCGAAAATGCGGACGTATCTACTATATTTGGCCGGAAATATATGGACAGGGAAGCAACGTCACGCATAGTCCCGCGTTATCCGAGTTATGACGTTTAAATTGTGATCGAGACGCGGGGCGTTGTTCATGGACTTTGCCAAGTCGTTCGAGAACTTGTTAAATCTGTCTGCTGGGCGCAATCAGCTACGTGCAAATTGTTCGAGCAAACAGAGTGGCTCGAACTCAAACGCGTTGTTTGCCTGAAAACAAGGATTTAATAGCTCGCGAATCGGCGGTATAAACTCACTGGGCGATCGCTTGTAGAAAACATCAGAGGAAGAGGAAAGGAGAGGAGAGAAATTTTTACTGCTCTCTTTTACCATGTCGGCGTGTTGTACACACACACACACACACACACACACACACACACACACACACACACAC